GCAGCCTGCCATTTGCCTCTATATGGTGGGTTCACAATGTGTTTAGTTGTTAGGCCATGTTGATTTGATTATATGGATGACATCCGCGCGCGCATGAATTTTTCGGACCGTTTACCAAAAAAAAAAAGTTTTCAACCATACTGTAAATCGTACAAAACAGTTGAGCAAAAATATACCGTAAGTTACAAAAAAATAAGTAAAAACTATACCAATGTCGTAGAATGCCAAAGTCAAACGAAAAAAGACGAAATTGTAAGGAAATGAACTTGAAGATTAGATTATTCGCCAAACCATCTTCTGTCCCATTTGTTCAACCCTCATGACCACGTAGATTTCATAATGAAAACAACTTTTTTTTTGTCAAAATTTTTTTTTATTCCCACGCGCGCATCAGTTTTGGGGCTCCCGGAGGATGTCATCCATATAATCAAATCAACATGGCCTTATGGTAAAGGTAGTCCCATAGCCTTTTTGACGCCTTAGGGGCAGTGGGTTGTTAATCCACTGTGTCTAGGGCACGGTATATGACTCAAAAGCATTCACACCATGACATCATAGCTAGCTAGTGGTAAGCAAGAAAAAACAAAGTGGGTGATTTGCCTACCATTACGCCTTCTGCCTTGAAATGATCTGCATATACACGATGTAAACAAAAACAACAATAACATATTGGAAGGTGGAGCCCATCCCTCTCCTTCTACCGCCTTTTACCTCCCCAACTGAAGTCAGGTACACATTTTACACCTGGGTGGAGTGAAGAAAGTCTTGTTAAGTGCCTTTCCAAAGAAACATCAGTATGTGTAAGGTGCAACGTCTAGCCAGGAATGCAAGGAATCAAACCCGCGACCGCTCAATCTTGTGTCTACTCACCTAGCCACACATCTTTTTGATGCCACTTACACACTACATGTAAGTTGAGGTGGTGAAAATTAGATTCTTTCCAGCTAAATACAATGAAGTTATCTCAAACCTTTGAGCGACTGCAACGCAAAACCTTCTCTCATCTGGAAGCCACAAACAAACCAAAATAGAATGAATGGATCAGACATCAGAAAGAGCCCAGAATGTAATTATCACAATAACAATTTTCCTTCAACATAACGCAGTAAGGAAGCTCTTTCATCTACAAATTGCATGGTTTGCTAAGATGAATAACCTGTTAGTTTTATTATATGCTTTGGATGCGTGTGCGTCAGTAGATGACTGGATATGTGACCCTCGCTTTAGGAAAAAGAGATGTTGCTGCAGTTAGCATTAGTTTAGTGCCTCCAAGTGGCAGGATGCCATTTTAATGCTTCTCAACAACAGTTCCAGGAAAAATCAAACTTAGGCCACAGCAAGTAATTTTTTATGGATGACATCAGCGAGCGCATTGATTTTCGCCTGATTTTGGAAAAAAACAAGAAATTTTGTTGCCTTCTGACAGTGGTCAACATGCCGAAAATGGGCAAAGATGTCAGTTGCCATGCCGGAAGGTGGATGGTAGATAAACATCAAGAGAGGAGACAAGACAAGGCTCTGATTTATTGCTTTGACTTTTACTTTGATGCAGACTGTAATTTCATTCCTTTTATTTGCTGTTCCCACTGAATCAAAACCATTTGTACAATGATTGAAAACTTTCCTTTTTCAAAGTTGTTTCAATGACAAATGGATGTTGTGATAGTTGGCAGTAAAGTGAGCACGATGTAGGAATCATTTCTTGTTTAACAAGGTTTATGATGTCAAAATTTCGAAATATAGGAATCTTGTTTTTTGGGGCCTGCCTTGTTTTTTTTCGTCCTCTCACATTAGATTTGTGGAGTAGAGTCTGTGGAGGATGTCATCCATAAAATTTACTTGCTGTGGCCTTAGTTTACTGCCTAGAAGTGGCAGTATGCCATTTTAATGCTTCTCAACAGCAGTTTCAGGAAAAAACAAACTCAAACACAGGGCAACGACCTGTAATCAAATTCAGAATAATGCCTAATTGCAATATTTTCTGTATACAGTCCTAATGCTATTAATACCAGTAATATTTCTGTATGAATCTCACTAAGGATATCAAATTCAGAATAATACCCAATTACTTTCTACTACATCTGTGCTATTAATACTCTTCCTGTATCAAGCGCAATAAGGAAGCCCTTTCATATGTGAATAATATATTATTATTGAATGGTTCGTTAGCTGCTAGGTGAATGAACTGTAACACTCTATGCTAAGGATCTTGTTTGTCCTTCACTGTTAAGAATTTACGCGAAGGATACATGCATGTTGTTTGCGAGGCACGTCTGCGCGAAAACGTGACCATATTTACGGAGGCCAACAATTGACGATGCCCAATGGCAATGATTTTTCTTTTTTCGGCGCATTGCACGGCACACCTGGTCAAAAACGTGACCATATCTATGGAGGCCGACAGTTGACGATGCCAGATGGCAATGTCTTCTTTTTTTCGGCGCAAATTTTGCGATCTACGGAAGGCTTTAAGCAGTTTAGAACAAAGAGGGGAACGTGACTTGAGGCGTGAATACTAGTTTTTGTTCTAAGTCCAGTACCGAATCACTTAATCGCAGTAACTAAACCACAAACAGAATCTGGAATTACAATTTATGTCAATTATATATTTTTTGCCGCATAGACAATTTGTCTGGGTTAAATAATGGCAAAGCTTTCGTGGACGCGCGTTTCATCTTCTTCAATGTTGCTCATCTCCCAGAAGACCCCCGAAGGAGCGCCTGCGTCTAGACGTGAAGGGAAATTAAACTGCTGACTAAAGAACCTTAAGTACGTGTGATTGAAGATTTGTGCCTGGGGTTGCGCAAAGTTTAAGCAGCTCCATCTATCTGCATCAACCTTCGTTTTTTATGACGTGCCCTGTAGTAACAGCAATTATTCCATGCATATTATAACAGGAAATATGAGATTCCTGGCTTCTGAGTTCTAGGAAGTGCTTCGGCTTTTTACCTTGGGCAAGAAGGTTACCGGTATGTTTTTGTGTGTGTGTGTGTGTGTGTGTGCGTGTGAGTGAGTGTGAGTGTGTGTGTGTGGCGACGCACAGTTAGAGAGGGTGCCGCTACCTGTGAGGAAGCACGCAGAACTGCCGCACAGCAGAAGAGACGAGCTAGGAAGGAGAGTGCTGCCGGTCCTGTGGCGAACACTGCTCTGTTCTCCTGCCCGCACTGTGAGCGCCGGTTCCGGGCGAAAATTAGACTCTACAGTCACCTGAGGACACACCCTACTATAGAGGGATGACAAAGCGGTCCTCGTCAACCTGACGGACGAACGACATCTGTGTGTGTGTGTGTGTGTGTGTGTGTCGAGTGTGTGTGTGTGTGTGTGTGGCCGAGTATGTGTGTGTGTGTGTGTGTGTGTGTGTGTGTGTGTGTGTGTGTGTGTGTGTGTGTGTCAACGGCATAACTCGAGAAGGCTTAGATGGATCATCTTGATATTTGGTAGGTGGGTAGGTCTTGATGAGAGCTCAAAATGATTACATTTTGGCCGCCCTGGCACCTTGTTATGGTACTGCAGCAGAACTTCCGTTCTTGATCTCGCGATCAGGACATGATTTTGTGCTCGGGAAGAAGTGACGTACATACATGTAAGCTTGGGTTCTCTAGCAGCTTGCTTGGGAACTGCAGGGGCATTTGTTTGTGCATGTATTATCTATCACAGTATGCTACCTGCGTCATCTAAATTAATACTGTGTTCTGCTACGTACATGTAACATTATACCACGAATGGCTGAATGTAAAGTGGGGACGTGTGTCAAACTACAATCTTCTGGGAAGCCATGCCACACACAGGAACGAACCGGGGCTAGATGGATGGACAGATACCGGGCCAACTCTTCCGTAAACCCAGTCCCCCAACAATTATGACAGATGACACCCACGCGGATTCCTGTCATATCAAGTGCGAAAATCACTTTGCGACAAATTGGCCTCGTGCAATCCTTCGCTTGATAAATCAAACAAAAAAACAATCGCACTGTTTGGACAAGGTCAACCATACGAGGTCACAACGATGCATCAAAAGGCCTTTTAAGAGCTTATGAAATATTCATATGCTAGATACGCAATTTCGTTATCTGCATGGACCACAAGGACTATTGTGATAACCTGACTGCGTGCGCTCGTGTATTTCATTATCTATCACAGCATGCTCCTTTCCACTACAGACCATCAATAAGCGACCAAAATTGGATTTGGACGATCCTTGGTTTCATAATCGCAATATGATGAACGACATATAAAAGCCAGGCTCGAAATTCATTTTCGGAATTATAGCTTCATGCTGTGTAGTGTTGCACCTAAAAAATCATGTGACTGTACTGTGAGTAAAAAATTTGGGTGCACAACATAGAAAAAAGTAGAACGTCAGCAAGTAATTTTTATGGATGACATCAGCGCGCGTGCTAATTTTTGGCTGATTCTGGAAAAAAAAACAAATTATGTTGCCTTCTGACAGAGGTCAACACGCCAAAAATGGGCAAAGATGTCTGTTGCCATGCCAGAAGGTGGATGACAGATAACTATGAAGAAAGGAGACAAGAAAAGGCTCTGAATATGTTTCTTACTTTGATGCAGTGATATGTGATGCTGGCTGTATATATGTGATGTTCCTGCTGAATTAAAACCATTTTTTACAGTGATTGAGTCAAATTTTTAAAATGTAAGAACCTTGTTTTTTGGCCCGCCTTGTTTTTTTTTCGCCCGCTTGCATTAGATTTTAAGTCTGCAGAGGATATCATCCATAAAATTTACTTGCTATAGCCTAAAATGTAATAACAAACCCTAAGCAAATAGGTGGACAGATCGTTGAGACAGTCCCTATGCATTGTTTAAACTTAATTTTTTGGATCATTGCAGCCAAAACCTAAAAATGCCTACCTAGCCGACCCTTGTTTTTTCAGGGCCGAACCGGAAACACAACATTACTTTTCCTAGGCTAATCATGTAGTATAAAATTATGAAACTATAAAACTGTGAATACTGTGCACAATTAAAATGACCTACCGAAGTTGGCGGAAGCCAGTTGAACGTTTTCGATCACGACGTCTTAAAAATGACACAGGAAAATTCAGACCGCATGGACAGGAACAGACCTCCAACTGACAATTCTAGCTTCTCTGCAGCAATTTCCAGGAATCACTGTAACAACACGGTGTAAAATGAAAGCGTTAAAAGAAGCTGCTGCAAAATTGCTCCTACAAGCAAATTGACGGGAGGCGTACATTACAGCCGACGCAAACTACTTTCCATTGCAGCCATAATGGAATAATACTAATACATGTACTTACTTGGAAAATCTTTTATTTATAATTATAGATCTGTAAAATTTTTTTGTGCGTGTTATGTGGACAAGAAGTTCAAGAAGTTGGTTGAAGCCCAACAAATACATTTATCAATTCAAAGTCGAACAGAAAAACACCTTAAGCTTGTGTTATATGGACCTATGCTGTGTTGGATTTTAGTGCATGTATCATTGTATGTGGAAAATCCAAGATGTATCTACATGTATAGAATACCTTTATATCTAGATGATCTATAGTCATGTATATAGAAATCGACCATCAAGATAACAAAGATTATTTTCCAAAAGTGAAAGGCAACCATGAAAAGTATCATGGCAGAAAATCTTTAGTAAGTGTTTCCTCTTAAATACCTCTTGCACACAAAGTGCATATTACCATTATAGTTGTGATAAAAGTTTTAGACTACAAATCACTTTGTCAAAGTCTAGAAGTTGATCCATCTTTTTAAACTGTTATACAAGCAGGATATAGAAATTGTGGTGTAGAATTCAGTAGCATCGAATGGTCGAGAGGTCACTGGATCGATCTCCGGCATTCATGACAAGAGCTTTATGTCCTTGGGAAAGGCACTTAACACGACTTTCCTCACTCCACCCAGGTATAAAATGGGTACCTGACTTCAGGTGGGGAGGTAAAGGGCAGTGGAAGGAGAGAATATCGATAATCTCCAAGCAGATCTTTCAGTGGCCACAAAGACAGTTTCAAATTGGCCTGGCTACTGTCTGGCAAATGGATACTCCCAGGCCAATAATTTGTCATTTAACGGCCACAAAGATCTGCTTGGAGATTATGCCGGAGACACATTGGTTTAACAATCCACTGCCCCTACGGCCTGAAAAAGACTATGGTACTATCTTTACCATTTACATGTAATAGATACGAATGGAAGATTCTGAAGCAAAAATGCCAAAATGTAATCTGTTGCAGAGATGGTGAAAGGGGTTTTAACTGAGGTTTCTATTTTTGTCCTTTTGGTCTTTCTTACATACATAGCCCACGTGCCCTTTTCTGTAGAGCATAATCGGCCGTTTTATTCCTATGTAGAGCGCAGATGGACCGCTCTAATTCAACGTACAGCGTAATTGGTGTATTTTGCGTGGAGCGTAATTCGCCGGTTTGATTCTACGTAATGTGTTGTAGCTACCCGGAACTACGTAAAACGTAATGGCGATGCCGAATTCAGCGTAATACGTAGCCGGCTCTCAAGATTTAGCGTACAGCGTTGACTGGACCCCCCCATGCAGGCCCTCGTTGGACATTGGTATGCTCCATAAAACGCACACCCAGAAACACAGACCGGTTTCAAACTGGTTTTTTACGAGCTCCTGACCTATATTTCACAAAGTCAAAGGGTCAGTGAGACAAAAGCCCCTACAGTACAGACAGGGAAGGGAACACAAAACAAACAGCTGAATATAGCTCTAAGCTTCCTCCAGGAATACTCTTATCACAAAACACCTGTATGTGCAGCTGTGAAATTCTCTCACGTTTTTTTTCCCTCCAAATATTGCGATAACCTTGAGATCTAAATACGGTCTGACAACATCCAGAAATACATCCACCAATCATGGATCTAAAATAGCGTACTCTAGGTCTAATCCTAACTCACATACCTGTACAATCTAATCACTATTGACATTGTACAGTATTAGTTCAAACAATTTGGAATACGATTCTAAGAGTATAATGTACACAATATACACATTTTCATTCACTCATCATTTAGTGTATTTTGAGTATAGAAAAATCATTTACAGGGATCACAAATGTCGTAGGAAAAATTAAATAATTCATGGATAGAATTTAAGCAACCAGGTGGTAATTAAAATGAAATAAAACCTCCATAAGCTGTTCTAATGCTAAGATTCCTAACCAATTAAGTCCACGTGCCTTTGCAGTATCTCAAGGTCAAACAACGTTGGAATAGAGGTCAAAATCTGAGCGGGGCATTTTGGAGGCAAACGACATATCCAGGATACAACAAAAAACTCATTTACAGCTACGTCCATAAAACCTCATCAACTAGAACTCCCGGCTATCCAACGGCCTAAACGATCGGGTTAGCGGGAATTTCCGATCGTTTTAGACAAAGGCAAATTTTCCCCTTACCGACAGGCTTCCCTCGGAGCATCCTGAAGGTCACCCAAACAGCAAGGCCACGTCCTTCAAACAAGGTCATGAATATGTATCTAGGACACCAAAGTCGTTAAAGCCTGCATATATAGCCCAGCGGGCTTGCTGCTTTGTGGAATTCTTTCCTTGTTCCATTGCTAAAAATCAAGTTTTCTTTTTAAACGAGGAATTTTTTAAAGAAATCTTTCTACAAATTGTGCTGTGTACGGTACGGACGATGTGATTGGATGGGAAATTTTGACAGTTGGATTTTGAAATGTTGAGTAGCTCATAGAGCACCCCCAAGGTCACATCTGTGCCGTCCTTCATGCATATGTATCTGGGGCAATGTGCTATAATGTCAAGGCATCCTCAACAAAACCTGACCAAATATGGTGTTGCCAGTCCTTTGCTGAGTAATAACTTCAATCGATGAATATGGATGGATGGGTTGTTTGCTATCTTTCTACCGGGCTCGAAATCCTTTTTTTCTGTGCAGGTAAAAAATTTCAAATTTTTTACCTGCACTTACAGTTTCTTTACCTTTCAGTTCATCAAAAAACTGTTCTAACTTCTCTGCTATTTTCAATGAATGAATGATGCTATTTTGAAGAGTGCAATTTTTACTGCAAAGCAGTTTATGAAGAATGCAAGTTCATTGTGTTCCCTAGTGTCTGTGGCTTGTTTTGTCATAGACCAGTGCAGGTAGACATCAGAAATACAGCTCCAATTTTACCTGCACTAACCTGCATATACCCAGTACATGGACCAGTGCAGGTTAGGTGCAGGTAGACATCAGAAATACCTGCACAGCTCCAATTTTACCTGCACTAACCTGCATATACCCAGTACATCTACCAGTGCAGGTTATATTAGGCGCAGGTAGACATCAGAAATACCTGCACAGCCCACATGTCAAAAATATGCCGAAGCCTAAACACAATGAAGTTGTTTGTACCAGATCTGAAAAGAAATCAAGCTGTTTCAGTTACGTACGTATGTGCCTGAGGGAATTATAGATCGAACATAAAGACTCTTTCAAACTCGAGTCCACGGATGTCTTAGACCGCGAAACACGCTGGTGGGAACGGGGTGTTAAAGAGGCAATATATGAAAGAATGTACAACCCCACCCTCAACAGGGAAGGGGGGCTACGGGTCGATCTTTCCGGAACACTTAAGCTCCTGTCCTGTATAACAGGAGCTTTCAGACTAATTTGCATCATCTTGTCTTGATTTGTCTGACTTTTGTTCCTTTTTCGACTTCCAAAAATTTGTCTTCACTTTATTTGCATATCAATCAACAGGTTGGGTATATAAACCTGCTTTCCCCTCTGGTCTCTCAGTCACTGACGAAAGCTAGTGGATACTAGCTGAAACGTCTGACGTTTTCAAAATCATATCCAGTTGCTTGAGTAACTGTTTTTTGGCATAAAGACCTTCTTTTTAAATTTTACAAAGGATCCCATCAATTCAAGAAAGAAGGTAATTTTCTTTAGGATTACTGAATTTGTAACCCTATGGCGCTTTTTAAGAAGACATACAATCACACAATGACTGTAGTATAGAGTCTACCACAGGTTTTTCTTCCGGCTAATCAAGTCCTCCGGTGCAAAACATGCCGAATGACGACAAAATAGCCATAGGACCACTCAATTTGTAACCCTACGGAGTTTACTGTGGGCGTTTCTTCCGGCTAATCAGTTCCCGCGGTGTGCGAACACGTCCTACACATCCGCTGTGCTCCGTGTTTGAAATCGCCCACTTGTGGAAAGCGTAATAAACATTTGTTGTTCGCTATCTCCAAGCAGTTTTTTTACGACTATACAAGACAGTCTCAAATTGACAAGACTATATGGCTGTGTATACTGTATACCAACGTTTGGCTGACAAAAAAAATACCGGTAAAAGTCCACAGCAAGTAATTTTTATGGATGACATCAGCGCGCGCATTAATTTTCGCCTGATTTTGAAAAAAAAAACGAAATTTCATTGCCTTCTGACAGTGGTCAATATGCCGAAAATGAACAAAGATGTCTGTTGCCATGCCAGAAGGTGGATGGCATATAACTATGAAGAGAGGAGACACGAAAAGACTCTCATTTAATGTTTTGTTTCTTACTTTGCTGCAGTGATATGTGATGTTGGCTGTGTATATGTGATGTTCCCACTGAATCAAAACCATTTCATTGAGTCAAAATTTTAAAATACATTGCATAGGAACCTTGTTTTTTTGGCTCGCCTTGTTTTTTTTGCCTGCTCGCATTAGATTTGGAGTCTGCAGAGGATGTCAACCATACAATTTACTTGCTGTGGCCTAAGAACTAAGACTAAACCACTACTTGCAAAGTAGGACAAGAAGTTCAATAACCTCCTTGGCCTTTTGTATTTCAGATCTGAAAATAAATGTAGTACATGTACATGTTGTACCTGTGAAATTTTAGACTTCCTTTTTACAAAAGATTGGTCCTTTCGATTTAAGAAGAAAGACATTGGATCACTCAATTAAGGATTCCATATTGAGACTACCGCAGGCTTTTCTTCCAGATAATTAAGTAGTCCCTCTGGGTGATTACATTCTATACGTCTCCTTTGTACATGTACAGTTTGCATCGCCCACTCGTGTAGAGTGAAATAAAAGCTGGCATCATCGTCACATCAGAGGGGTCAATGACCCCTGGACAATTTACTGTAGTTATTTCTATGAATACGATGTGTGATGTGC